TCCTTTCCATAGAGAGCCCCAACTCCCCCTGCACCAGCTACACCAACCCCACCAGCACCACCAGCTCCAGCTGGGAGACCATCCATTCCATAGGGAGAACCAACTCCTCCACCAACACCAGCACCACCAACACCAGCACCACCAGCACCACCAACACCAGCTCCAGCTGGGAGACCATCCTTTCCATAGGGAGCCCCAACTCCCCCTGCACCAGCAGCACCTGCTCCAGCTGGGAAACCATCCATTCCATAAGGAGACCCAACACCTCCAAAGCCACCACCTGCAGCTCCACCAGTGCCTGCACCAGCAGGGAGGCCATCTTTTCCATATGGATACCCAAATCCCCCTGCACCAGCACCACCAGCACCACCAAGACCAGCTCCAGCTGGAAGACCATCCTTTCCATAGGGAGAACCAACTCCCCCCGTCCCAGCTACACCAGCAGCACCAACACCTGCTCCAACTGGGAGACCATCCTTCCCATACAAAGATCCAACACCTCCAAAGCCACTACCTTCAGCTCCACCAACACCTGCTCCGGCAGGGATGCCATCTTTTCCATATGGATACCCATATGGCCCTGCACCAGCACCACCAGCACCACCAGCACCACCAGCCCCAGCAGGGATGCCATCCTTTCCATATGGAAAACCAACTCCCCCTGCACCAGCTACACCACCAACACCTGCTCCAGCTGGGAGACCATCCTTTCCATAGGGAGACCCAACTCCCCCTGCACCAGCTGCACCTCCAACACCAGCTCCAGCAGGGATGCCATCCTTTCCATAGGGAAGACCAACTCCCCCTGGACCAGCTGCACCTCCAACACCAGCTCCAGCAGGGACGCCATCCTTTCCATAGGGAAGACCAACTCCCCCCGCACCAGCTACACCACCAACCACTGCTCCAGCAGGGAGACCATCCTTTCCATAAGGAACCCCAAATCCCCCTGCACCAGCACCACCAACACCAGCTCCAGCAGGGATGCCATCCTTTCCATAGGGAAAAACAACTCCCCCTGCACCAGCTACACCAGCACCACCAGCTCCAGCAGGGATGCCATCCTTTCCATAAGGAACCCCAAATCCCCCTGCACCAGCACCACCAGCACCTCCAACCCCAGCTCCAGCTGGGAGACCATCCTTTCCATAGGGAGCCCCAAATCCCCCTGCACCTGAACCACCAGCAGCACCAGCCCCTGCTCCAAGTGGCCGACCATCTGGACCATAGAAAGCCCCCATTTCTCCTACAGAACTGCCACCTGCCCCAGGTAGAGCCCCATCTGCACTTGGAAAGCCACCTGGGCCATACAGCGAGCCAGCCCTGCCCCCCTGACCCAACTGAGCACTGGCATGAGGTGCCAGGCCGTCCTTGCCATAGGGAGCCCCTGTTTGGCCCTGTCTGTCCATCCCTGCTCCGTTCATGTCACCCACAGTCAGATCACCACCCTTGCCATGGTGGGACCCCATTCCTCCTGCAGGCCCTGCAGCACTCCCCCACGCTGCAGCCCCTGGGCCAGCCCTGCTGAACAGATCCCCCACACCATCTCCCACCCCGGCTGAACCAGGGCCGAGCCCATCTGGCACAGAACTTCCATCAGTGGCACCAAACCTCCCAACACCCCCAAAGCCAGCTCTGGAGCTGGGATCACCTAAATTTCCATCCTTGTCATGCCAAGAGCCCAAACCTTCTCCACCATCCATGCCCACGTGACCAGCACCCAGCACACCCTCTCCTCTGCCAGCCACAGAATCCCGTCCCCCTGCTCCTCCTGCTCCATCCCCAGGACCTTCCCTGCCTGGCACAGAGTCCTGGCCGTGCACAGGCCTTAATCCACCTTTGCCTCCTAAGCCTTTTAATCCAAAGATGCTGCCATCATTTGTCACTGAGTCTCCATCTAGATCTGCTCCAGAAAACTGCCCAGGCCCCATCCCTCCGTTCAGGTGGGTTTTGCGGAGCCCCTCTTTTCCCAAAAATATTTGGCTTCCATCATCAGTATCCATGGAGTGGCCTTGGCTGCTGCTTTGGCCGCTGCCTTGGCCTCTGTCCTGGCTGCTGCCTTGACCCTTCCTGTACCAGCCCTTTTTTTCCACACCGGTGTCCATGGCATGACCTTCATCCCCAGCACGTTCCTGGCGCCGAAGTTTCCTCGCCCTTTCATTGTCTGCCATCGTCTCCTTCAGCCACTCAGATGTCTCCCTTTCGATTTTTTCAATTATTTCCTCATCCTGTCTCTTCTTCCCTTTGGCATCTGCGTTGAAGTCACACGGTTTGATTGAAGCAGATAGAGTTTACAGAAAAAGAGGGGGGAGGGACAAAGAACAGATGATCAATAGGTCACCTACTGCATTAGTGGCCAAAGAAAACGTGTAAGCAGTTTTACAATTTAATTTTAGGATACAGACACATAGTACCTTTAAATATATTTAAATTCATTTCAAGTCCTGAATTTTTTCAGTGTCACATTCAGACGATGAAAAGTTAATTAGAGACAATTATTTTTATTTAAAACACAACTTTTTTTAGTGGAAACAGGTTGTTATAACAAACAAACAAACAAGACAAAACTGACAGAAAAACAAATTTCCAGCATGACAGGTCTGATTTAGAGGGGCTTAGATTGTATCTGGAACTCATTAGTTCCTTTTGCCTTCCCCCTGACCCCATGCCTGCCATAGTGTGGTCCCAGTGACAGCTTCCTCAAAAACACGTGGTGAGATATGGAGCAGTTTTTGATAACAGAGAACATTGCAGCTGTGCAGCAATAAGCCAATAGGATTTGTCAGGATTAATTAAAAAGAGAAAAATTGGTCTCATTTGAAGAGGAAAGAGAGTCTAAGCAGACCTTCATTTTTCCCAAATAGAATTTAGAATCCCAGACTGGTTTGGGTTGGAAGGGACCTTAAAGCTCATCCAGTCCCACCCCTGCCACAGGCAGGGACACTTTCCACTATCCCAGGTTGCTCCAACCTGGCCTTGGACACTTCCAGGGATGGGGCAGCCAGAGCTTCTCTGGGCAACCTGTGCCAGGGCCTCCCCACCCTCCCAGGGAAGAATTCCTTCCCAATATCCCATCTAACCCTGCCCTCTGTCACAATGAAGCCATCCCCCCTTGTCCTGTCCCTCCATCCCTTGTCCCTCTCCAGCTCTCCTGGAGCCCCTTTAGGCTCTAAAGACACCCCAGAACCTGAACACCCCCAACTCTATCACCCATGACTGAGGAACCAGAGGCTCAACAATTGATTTCTCAGCCTGGAAACATCTCCCTGGACAATCAGGCAGCGAGAGGAAGGTTCCTGTGTGCCCACCCCCCAGCCCACCCCCGGCACTCACACTCCACGAGCAGCCAGGCGCTGGAGGATCCCTGCCCCGCTTCCAGCGTGTACATCCCGCTGTCCGAGGGCTCCACGTTCTTGATGACGAGCTGGTGGGTGAGGCCGTCGGGCGACACGGAGATGTGGTGCCTGGGGCCGGCCTGCAGGGCGTGTGTCTTGTGCAGCCAGGCGGGGCGGTGGCAGGGGGTGCGCAGGATGCACTGGAACACGGCATCGCCCTGCTCGGGGCAGCGCACGTCGCTGAGCGGCTGCTGGAACCGGGCGGGGATGGCTGCGAGGGGAAACCAGAGCTGTCGGGGCCGAAAAACTCGGCGGGAAGGACTGCTCAGAGGCCTTGCATCCTTTGAGCAGCGAGGTATTTACTGGGATGCCTTAGGCTCTTTTTGATTTTTGATTTTTCCGATTTTTGTAAGTTTTAGAAGTAGTTCTGTAGTAAATGTAGGTCTTAGAACCAGCTGCATTTACTCCCTTACCCTTACCCTTAGCACAGTAGATACACATTCCCCAACCCTCTTACCCCATTCCATGGTCCCCATATCAATTACGCCCCCATAAATTCCATTAGAATATTTAGACTTCTCTTCAAGGTAGGCCTCTTCTGTTTAAGAACATCTAATCCCTGAGCCACAAGGTACAGTCAAGAACTGTGTGACCGTGTGCCCTCTGTACTCCCAGGAAGAGCGAGGTGATGAAGAAAAGGGTCTCAAAAAGACCCCAGACCCAATTCATAGAATCATAGAATCATCTGGGTTGGAAAGGACCTCCGAGATCATCAAGTCCAACCCTTGATCCAACCCCGCCGTGGTTCCCAGCCCATGGCACTGATGCCACATCCAGTCTCATCTTAAAAACCTCCAGGGACGGAGAATCCACCACTTCCCTGAGCCACCCATTCCAGTGTCTGATCACCCTCTCTGGAAAGAAATTCTTACTAATATCCAACCTAAACCTCCCCTGGCACAAGGGGCGGGCTGGGGGTGGACCGGGGTGAAGGCCTGGGGGTGGATAAAATCAGGGATTGGACAAACTGTTATAAAATTGTAACACTGGATTGGAGCTTCACCCGTCTCATAACCGAGGGGCACCATTAAACCCTTTCCTTACCTCACCTCCAGATTAAGTTGTCTCCAAGTTTTTTTTCTCCCTGAGTTTTCTTTAGGGAACAGTTGCAATGCAACGCTGGGAGCGAGGCAGGCAGCCCTGCACAGACTCACTCAAGGGCACCACACAAATCAAGGTTTTTATATGGTTTTACATATATGATTACTGGCATATTCCTATGATTACATCTATCTATACATATTCATGTAGGCAGAGTCCAGGCAGAGCTTAGGGCAGTGCTTCTCTTGGCACTGAATTTTGGGGGTATGTCCAGCCTTCGGCCTCAAGCTGGGGGTCGTCTTCCTACCTTTCTTGCTCTGACCTTCTTACCTTTCCATGGGTCTTGTCCTAACTACTGAAGCTTGCAGAAAGGCTCCAAGCCATCTCCTCCTATTCAGATGTCCACCTTATCCTAATTTATTACCCCCAGGTTCACTGTATACTGTTTCTAGTATTGTTCTGGGTTTAGGTCCAGTGAACAGAACAGCTCTGAGCAGCAGAACGAGTGCTGGGGGGGCTTTTCTTAGCAGGCCCAGATATCTCAGTTAACTCTTTCAGGCCTGGCCTTTGTTTCACCATGGAAAGGCAACAGCTCATTCTGTCCTCCCAGAAAAAGCTCGTTGCAGCTCAGGGAAGGAAGAACAGAGAGTTGTGGTGCCCGTGAGTGTCAGTTTAATGAGAAAATGGGAACACTGAGATGTGATCCTGTGACCAATTCTGCAGGATGGACCAGCAGAAAAGTGGATTTTTGTGTCATTATCTTCTGAGACATTTATCCCACACGTTGTTGATGTGCTGACAGTTTGTAGTCATCAATGTACTCCTGCAACACGATGCTTGGATTGAGTTATATCATTATTTTTCTGAGCTTACAGAAGGAAACTGTAGCATGGAGAAGTTGAGGAGTGTGCTCACTGTCATCCACAACTCAGAGCCAAACTGGTACTTGAACCTAGACTTGGTCCTTTGGACTGCAAATGCAGCACCTAAATCACATAATCACCCTCCTGCACTTTTTCACCTCTGCCATACAGGGAGCCCTTATTTGGCAACACCAAGCCAGTCCTCTGTAGCTGCCAGGAGTTACTGCTGAGCTTTGCACTTGCTCCCAGATAAAATTTTCCAGCAAAAAAACCCCAAACTTTTGTTATAGTTGCACATCACACACATTGAACTCAACTTCTCACCTTCAGCATCCAGTTCAGTGGAGAAAACAGGGACGTCCTCCACCCTGACTTGGTACACGCCTGCATCCTCTGGCTGCACGTCGTTGATGATGAAGTGGTACCTCCTCCCAATCCTCCTCAGGCAGTGCTTCCTGTACTCATCCCCCGTCCCGTAGCGGAGCCGCTGCCCGTCCTGGGGAGAGGAGGAGTGTTCCCACCCAGAGCTCAGCTGTGCCAGAGACTCACAGACTCACAGACTCAAAATTACTGAGTTGGAAGGGACCCACAAGGACCATCCAGTCCAACCCTCAGCCCTGCACAGGACCATCCCCAGAGTCCCACCCTGTGCCCCAGAGGATCAGCCAAACCCTCCTGGAGCTCTGGCAGCCTTGGGGCTGTGCCCACTGCCCTGGGGAGCCTGGGCAGTGCCCAACCAGCCTCTGGGGGAAGAACCTTTGCCTGAGATCCAACCTGAGCCTGCCCTGACACAGCTCCAGCCATTCCCTGGCTGCTGTCCCTGGTCCCCCCAGAGCAGAGCTCAGTCCCTGCCCCTCCTCCCAGGAAGGTGGAACTGCAGTGAGGTCTCCCCTCAGTTTTCTCCAGCTGAACACACCAAGTGCCCTCAGTGTCCTCACACGGCTTCAAATCAAGGCTCTTCTCCACCTTCATGTGCCTCCTTTGGACACTCTCTAATGGTTTCATATCTTCCTCACATTGGTGTGACCAAAACTGCCACAATATTCCATGTGAGGCTGGCCCAGAGCAGAGCACAAATCAGGGCAAATTGGTGCTACAATCCCCTCTTTGATACAAATGAGTAACTGCAGAGAAGTCTCCACTCTGCTCCTGCTGACAGTGGTCAGGGCTCAGTGCTTGTGCAGCATCTGTGCAGAAAGTCCTGCACAGAACAGGGCACCAGACCCTCAAACTGGGCAGAGCAGCAGCTTTGTGCTGGTCCACATAAGGGTTTGAGGCTTAACTAATGCACAGTTACTGTCACTTCAAAGACAAAGTGCTTTCTTTGCTCAGATTTCAGCATCTTCACAGCTGGAGAAGCAGGAGAGTTCCCTTTCTGGAACACAACTGGGTGACATTCTCCACACTGTGGCTCAGAGACTTCATGTCATACCTTTGACTCAGGAGTTCATGGTTAGTCTGACCTCTCCAATGAATCCTGATTTCCCCTGTGTTAGAGCCACTAACCACGGTTTGACTGGAATTTAACTTCCAGAAACACATCCACAGCCCTGAGCACCTGGGGGTCACATCAGAGGAACTACACACCCAAATGGGAGATTTTACTGCCTTGAGATTTTCTTTCACTGAAGGGAGTTATAGTGGAATAGTTTGAGAAAGAGAATAAAATTTACAGGAAACTGCAGGATTTCTGCAGCCTGAAAGGCTCTGTTAGGGCAAGGGGTGATGGTTTTAAACTGAAGGAGGGTCAATTTAGATCAGACAAAAGAAAGCAGATTTTTACAGTGAGGGTGGGGAGGCCCTGGCACAGGTTGCCCAGAGAAGCTGTGGCTGCCCCACCCCTGGAAGTGTCCCAGGCCAGGTTGGACAGGGTTTGGGATGGTGGGATAGCATAAGGTGTCCCTGCCCATGGCAGGGGGTTGGACTAGTTGGCCTTTTAGAGATCCCTTCCAACTCCAGCTGTTCTACGAACTCTTCTCACTGGGAGAGCTCTTGCCAAGGATGTCAGTGACTGTGTGCCCTGTGCTTGGATTTACAAACCCAGGGGATGTTCACCCCCAAAGACTGCACACACCAACACTGCTCCCTGACCCAGGCAGGGCTCTGCAAAGCACAGACAGCTCTATTTGCTCCCAGCCATTGCTCAGGTGAAGCCTTTTCTGCAGGAGACTCCAGTGGCTGCTCTGACCAACTTTCCCACCTGCCCCGAGCTGCTGCTGCCCAGCCCCTCTGCCCCTCACCTTGAGCAGATACACGTTGCTGTTTTTGTTTTTCAGCTCCATCTCCAGGCTGAACGTGGCATTTCCCTCCTTGTTGACTTTGATGTGTTCCAAGTTTTTGATACTGTGAATTAACTGCAAAGGGAAATCAAAGAACCTCGTAAATGGTAAAGCTGCTGTGACAGAAGTTCTTAAGCTGTTGAATTAATGTGAAATCTGCTGTTTATCTGCAGATAAAGAGCTACCTCTAAGGTTATGTGTGCAGAAGATGTTTTTGTGAGCTTCCACAGTTTCCTCCTGCACACAAATGATATTTTACGTGCTGCCTCTTGATCACTCACTCACTGTCCATGCAGGTTTCTACATGCATGTCAAGGCCAATTTTGACTCTTGAGCATGTAACTTTTCAGTTTGGGGTCCAAATTCTCAGCAGAGGCAACTGAACCCCCCTATGGTCAGTGTCTCCTAAAATCTACAAACTCAATTTCCAAAAATTCATCAGCATTTTCATCTGCAGGAGTAAAATGAGACTTCTTTAAACACTGTCATAAATCACTCTCTTATCCAGTAAGATTTTCATCTACAAAGCAATTTAGGAAGATCCAGCCTGTTGCCAGAAGCTACTGAGGACTCTGCTGTTTGTTAAAAATCGGTGGTTTCAGTTTATTTTACCTCATCTTGTTCACTCTCTGCGTCCTTCCTCAGCTCCTGCAGCTTCCTCAGCATCCCACGGAAGTCAACAATTCCATATTTAAGGCAGATTTTCTCATAGTCTCTCCTGTCTGCGTGGAGCAGCAGCTGCCACACGGCCTCTTTGTCCAGGGGTTTGGGTTTTGGTGCTACAACCCTTGGAACCAGGGGGGAAGAAAAGAAAAATATCTAGACATTTTGACAGACAACAAGACATCTGTTTTTTTTCTATTTTTCTATACTTGATTCTCTTTCATCTCTCTCCATCACTTCTGTAGTTCACTGGGCCTGGCAGGAAAGAGAGCGGCTCCTCCAGAAGAGGTTTCCTGTATCTGTACCATGAATTAAGTGATGACAGGGAACAACTGTTGACACTGTTCCATTATCAGCAGAGTCACTGGCACAGTTTGGAACAAGGGTTCTGCCAGAGATCATTCCCAGCAGGCAATCCTGGGAGGTTCCCAGCTGGGAAGGGAAGGGGTTGTGCCATGTACTCTGGCCAGGGAGCCAGGGCTCACCCTGATCATCCAGAGCCACCAGGACATGAAGATTTTCCCCTTGGCCAGGAAGTTATTCATGAGCTGAACATGGGAAAGCAGAGAAACATCTTTCCAGTCAGAATCTGCAGAGGGACATTCCCCCCAAATGAGGTTGGTGCCTTGTGTTATCTCAGCCTCACAGGCAGGGCCAGGCTGTCCTGGGGTGTCTCTCCACAACTTTGGAAACAAGAGGTGCTGCCCTGCAGGTCTGTGAAGTTGTCCCCTGTCACCAACAAACTTCCAGAAGTGTGACAGTGGCCCTCACTGTGGAGACTCACCTCTTCCTCAGCAGCTTCTTGGAGTCCTGGAGCGTCTTCTTGAGCTCTGTTAGAGGGGTGGGGGGAACAACAAACCTTCAGACACCCAGCACTGTAAAATCCATCCCCAAAGAGCAGATGATGCAAACCAACCCCTGACAACAGCCCTCTCTGCTGGGCTCTGGGGATTTGTCTCACACTTTACAAACTGTCATGAAACTTGGAGTCAGTTCTCACTGCCAGACTCGTCCTTTGAGTGCCAACAACTTTCATTGCTCCCTCAGGGACCTTCCTCCAGTAACCCACTATTTTCCATATTAACATGTTTGATCCAGCTGTATCTGACATCCCAAAATCCTTCTCTAGCCCTGATGATTCTGCAATCACTAATTAGAGCAGCTCAAAGCCATGTTTAACATCATCACTTTACCCAAAGGTAAAGAGCAAGCAGAGATGAGAGAACATCAGAGACTCATTAATCTTTTTCTTACTTTAGTCTTTACAGATTTGGGATAGTAATAATGTGGCAGACAGAGTATTATTAACTATGCCTCCCCCTTAATATAATATAATGTAATATAATATAATATAATATAATATAATACAATATAACATAACATAATATAATATACAATATAATATAATATAATATATAATATATAATACAATATAATACAATATGATATAATATAATATATAATACAATATGATATAATATAATATATAATACAATATAATATATATCTCTTTCTCTTACCATCAGCAGCATGAACAGGAACATATTTTACTTTCCTCTTAAAGCCAACTGATAGTTTATAAGAGAAAACAGAAGGAAAACAAGCCATGAGATGAACAAACAGCAGTAAACCAATGAACCATGAAACTTCAGTATCTGTTCCCAGTGTAAGGGGAAACCCCAGCTTGGATTTCTTTGTCAATCTGACATTGACTCCCAGGAATCTCCATCTATAAATGTGATATTCCCACTGCAATCGACTCTGTGCTGACTGGATGCTCCACACAGAGGAGGAGAACGTTTCTGCCCCATGAATTTGATGGTTTAAGCAAGGGGAGGAAACATTAACACCTTGGTTTGGAAGTGGGGAGTCAACTGCAGACGTGCCTTCTGAACTTGCTTCAGAGGACACTTCAACACAGTCCACCTTCTGCTCAGATTCCAAGAATATCAGTTGTATTTGACCCACAAAATGCCCATTTCTCCCCACTGACTCTAAAGGGAAGCAGGGGAACGCAGCTGAAGTGGGTCCATCCCAGAGGACTGGTTTGTTCAGCAGCACAAAGGAAGGGTCGAGCCCAGTCAAACCCAGAGGGGCAGGTTTGCACCCAGTGCTGTGACCACAATTCCACCTCCTTCCCCCTGCTCAGAGCTCACAGTGCCACGGGGCCACCAACACACCTCCAGTCCTCGGGGAGGGAATGAGAGACCTGCACCCCAAGGATGCTCAGACAGAGCCCAGGGCACCCACCCCGGGGCAGCAAAGGGCTGTTTGGGATCTTTGCAGCCCTGTCAGCCCCACCTTGGATGATCCTGAGGCCCACGGAGCAGGAAGCTTCCCCGTACTCATTGACAGCACAGCACCGGTACAAATCACTGTCATCCATCACCAGCCTGTTGATCTGCAGCAGGAGAACACGGGAACTGCTCACTCCCAGCACTGGGGGTCAGGGAATTGCTCACTCCCAGCACTGGGGGTCAGGGAATTGCTCACTCCCAGCACTGGGGGTCAGGGAACTGCTCACTCCCAGCACTGGGGGTCAGGGAATTGCTCACTCCCAGCACTGGGGGTCAGTTCATACCATCAGCTCCTGAAAAGGAGCCACTCAAAGGCAGCTCAGAGCTCTCTTCTGTTCCCATGAGGGCTCTTAAAGCTTTGTTTGCTTATCTTTGTGTTGTCTCAGAGCTGGGGACACGTAGAATCACAGAATATCCTGGGCTGGACGGGACCCACAAGGACCATCCAGTCCAACCCTCAGCCCTGCACAGGCCCATCCCAAGAGTCACCCCCTGTGCCCCAGAGGATCATCCAAACCCTCCTGGAGCTCTGGCAGCCTTGGGGCTGTGCCCACTGCCCTGGGGAGCCTGGGCAGTGCCCAACCAGCCTCTGGGGGAAGAACCTTTTCCCGAGATCCAACCTGACCCTGCCCTGGCACAGCTCCAGCCATTCCCTGGGTGCTGTCCCTGGTCCCCCCAGAGCAGAGCTCAGTCCCTGCCCCTCCTCTGCCCCTCAGCCCATTGCAGGTTTTTCCTTCCCATTTCTCTCTCAGTTCCACAAGTCCTTTCTGGAATATTTGATCTTTACCTGCAGAATGAATTCATTTGTGGCACTATTGAAGGACATTTCATACTTGGCAGGATCATCCATCCCTTTTCGTGTACGTGACCATTTCACCTCTGGGGTTGGGACACCTTTGACCACAGCTCTGAAAATGGCATTTTTACCTTTGAAAAGAGGCAAGAAATTAGTTAAGACAGTCTTGAACATGAACAGTCTTGAACTCTCATGGCAGGCCTCTTGTTATCAATAGATTGATCTCCAGAGTGAGCCACCATCTGTTGTTTTGGGCAGAAACATTCTTCAAAAATAATGATGGCTTTTATTTTGCACATCAGTAATTCAGGGTTTGTCTGTATTCAATCATAAGAGGCCTTTAAAATGTGGTGTTACCCTGCCAGATGTGGCTGCTGACATCTCTGCCCATCTCTGCAGCCCTACAGCGAGTTCAGCCTTGACCTTGACCTGCTGTTGGCAGCTTGTGCCTCTGCCTGACAGCCGGAAAACGCCCAAATCTATTCTCTTCAAACATATATTCCCTATAAAATCCCAGTGCTCCTCCATTCTATCAGCCTACAGTGCCTTGTCTGCTGGCCTGGCACCACCCTGCACCCCACCCACCCCAGGCTCTGCTCTCTGAAAAGGCAGGGAAGGGAGGAGGGGATGGGCTTCGGCTCCTTCATCCCTGCTCCCCTAAAAGGGGTTTTCTGAGTGCACAGAAACCTCCAACAGCTTTCCCACTGCCTGCTACAGACCTCTGCTTCCAACAGGCTTCAGAAACATGAGGAACACTGGGAAACAACGAGTCAGAGAAGTGAGTCATGGTGAAGTGGAATAGAAGTGGAGGTGAGTTATCCTCTCACTCAGCTCAGGACGGAAATGATTGTTGTCTTTCTTTTGCAATAGTTTTGATCTTCAGATGGCCAACACTGTTCAAAATTCTCCCCAGGAAGCCTTGCAATGTTTCCCACACCCTTCTGCAGTCACCACCACCACCAACTTCTTTTATGGAACAACAGATTCTTATCAAAAGGCGTTTTCCAGCCTTTGAGATCAGAGCACTATTGTTAAAGTCTGATTCCAATTTATTGTCCCCATGTCATATTTCAGCCATTTTGGCTGCACTTTTGCTTGTCATGTGCCACAGGCCACAGCTGCACAGCTGAGGGAATCAGCTCCCACATGCACTGAACACAGTGGGGGGATGATGGTGTAAATAAAGACACTCATGGTGCCTCTGCACAGAATTCAGTTTACAGCGACCAACCTGAATGCACAAACATTTTATACAGGAACTGTGAGAAACCTGCTGCAAATGAAATAAGTGGGAAAATTCAGACAGGTGAAAATTCAGACAGGTGAAAATTTAGTCAGGGGCCTTGGTTCATTCCTGAAACTTGAAGGTGGAGGAGGAGGAGAGGGGAGGTTCCACTAGAGGCCACTGTGCTCCTTCATAAAACCTCAATGGCTTGAAAATCAACAGATGGGTGAGAAACACTGAATCCACAGGTCGGTGTGGGGAGGGAAGAGGAGCTACAGGATCTCCTCAGGCCATTCCACTCCAAATAAATATATATATTATATATATATATATGTATGTATGAGTCTCTGCAAGTGCAGAGAGACCACAGGGAGGCTTTTCATTGATGTTTGATCTTGACTCATCAGCTGCTTTCCCTGTGCAAGATCCATGTTGCTCCTTAAGCAATAAATGGAATCATCACGGAACCACAGAATGGTTTGGGACCTCAAAGCTCATCCCATTCATGCCCCTTTAGGCATGGGAAAGCTGCTGTAGCCAAAATAGCACCTGAAGCCAGAATATCTTACTTTAAAAACCAGTTAATTTTAGTGCTGAACACTCATAATACAAGTTAGTTCAGCAGAAAAACAAACAAACAGAAAACCAAATTTTTCAATGTGCTTCATCTTTTGCTGCAAAATACTTACTTTGAGAGCTTCCTGCAGAATTCACAGGATTTATTGCCCACTTTAGGAGCCAGATTTTGGTCTTGCACATGCAAGGAGTCCTCTGTCAGCACTGATGGAATTCTCACCAGTGTAACAAAGACTTTGGCCACACAACACTTTTTTTCTGGTCATGCCAAAACCACTTTAGAAACCACTTTTACTTAATTACAATAATTGTTCCATGCTGGTGAGAGGTGGAGTCAAGCCTCCAGGTCTGTGGCTTTGCCTGTCTTTCAAGAATCTCACCTTCCTGCAGGGTCAGAGTGAGAGGTTTCCTCTCAAAGTCGGGTGTACTGCATCCTTCTGGAACATCATTCACAAACTGGGTGATGAGAACCCCTGGGATAGCAGATTTCTTGAAGGTTTTTACTAGAAAGGCAAGAAAAAATATATTTAATTAGCATAACATTTGTCCTTCAGGAACAATCTCTCAGCCTGCAGAGAAGCAGCTGCTCCTGCCCAGCTCCTCTTGGACAACAAAGGTCCCACCCGTTCCAGTCCCAGTGTGTCCTAAGGCTGGAGCACTGAGGTCTTGGCTTTGGAAAACCAGTGTCCAACTGGGAAAATCTGCAGCAAAGATCCCAATCCAGGCCCCCCTTTTGGCCCCAGCTCTAGGGGTGGTTGGGACAGGGGAAAGCTTTGCATCAGTCATTGTCCCAGATAACACTTCAGAATCTGGCAGGACAAAGCCCCTCTTGCCAAGGTCAGCAGCACCTGAGGGGTCAGTTCCTGGTGTCCCTCCTTGAGGAGGGGGGACAGACACCCCCAGACCAGACAGACACCCCCAGACCAGCCCAGCAAGCTGGGGTTGTTCCCAAGGGCACTGCAGGGAGTTCCCAGAGCTGTGTCTGTTCTCTCACCTGGCTGGGGGCTGCTCATGGTGCCCTGCTCAGCTTTCTGGGATCACCACGAACAGGTCAGGGGTTCTCCTGGGAAAAAGGACAAATCACTGCATTATTCACAGTTCACAAGGGAAGGGACAGACCTGAACACTGCTCCCTTCACTGGCACAGTTTGCCCTTCCTCACTCGCAGCCAAGCTGAGACAGAGCTGCCAATGGTGTCCTCTCAGGACACATCCCAACGAGGTCCTGAACCAGCACAAACTGGGCAGGAGAACGACTGGAAGGGCTGAGTGGGAAATGCACACATCCAACAGCATCCCTCTGCCACCCCTTCCCTGCCCATGGCACCTGGCTCTCCTCCAAACACCTCCTCTCGTGTTTCAGGCAAATATTACATCACATGGCTCTCACATGGGGAGTCCTGATGGATGGCGAGAGCAGTTGCTGAGAAGAAAGCCACAGACATGGATGTCTAAACTGGGGCATGAAGCAGAAGCACATCCTGATCTAAATTAGCTTGTTTAAATTAGCAACAGACCCGAGAGCAGAGCAGAAGACTTTAGAAGGAAATGGTGAAGTGTGAGCTGGGCATTCAGCAGTTATTGTCATGGATCACTCCTGTGACCTTCTGCCAGAGGCGTCTCTTTCCTTGTATTTTAAACTGGACAATGTGTAATGTAACACATCCCTGTCCCGAAGGCAAACTGGGAAGGCAGATTCCTTGTCACATGAGAGATGCTCACAAACTCTAGAGTTACTGCAGCTCTGCAGGAGCAGTTGGATTGGATTCCCCCGTGGGACTGAGGCTGCTCCCTGTTTACCCTCTGCACTCCTTCAGTCAGGAGAGACACACAGGAACATGCAACTTCCATCAGCTTTAAAAGGCACGGGGACTTTGGGAGCTCTCATCCAGCTGAGAAGTGTCACAGGCACATGGTGAAAACCCAGGGTATGACCCCAACACCTCCCCATTCCACACTCAGCTCGGAGCTGCATCACCTGGGTGAAACCTGCTTTCAGCTAAACATAAAACCAACTAAACTACTACAAATAATTTTTGCTGTGTGCCTCATAGACAGGCCAAAGAAAGTGTCACTCACAGTACTTCTGGGTCAAATTCTGAACCAAAATTTGATTTTCCACTACTCAGTAGCTGCAAAGAGCCACAGGCACCTCCCCACAACAACTCACTGGCTCCACTGTTGCCTTAAAATAAAGTCTTATTTTGGGGCTCTGCACACTACACAGATCTCATCAGTAATTAATATCACTCCAGAGACTCACTGACCTCAGTGGAAATGCACTGAGACAACAGCCATGGGAGATGATGCCGGGGCTGTGTGAGCACCAGCCAGGTCATCCCCTCTGCCTGTCCCTCCCTGCCCTGCTGTGGGTGACTCCTGCCCTCCCCATGAGCACCAGCACGATCATCCCCTCTCCCTGTGCCCTCCCTGCCCTGCTGTGGGTGACTCCTGCCCTCCCCATGAGCCTCAGCCAGGTCATCCCCTCTCCCTGAGCCCTCCCTGCCCTGCTGTGGGTGACTCCTGCTCTCCCCACCACCACAGGAGTTCCACATCTCACTTGGGTGCTGCTGTTTTGGCAGTTCCTTCTGCAAACCCTTGTAAACAGGGTTGTACAGTGACCTCTGTCAACCTTTGGGAGATGTTTCAGAACTTGCAAATGAAGGGATGAGCAGCTTGTGTCAGGGAAAAGACACAAAACCTAAAGGAAAAGCAGCTGATTCCAGGGCACCCTGCCCTGCCCCGGGCAGAGCTTTGCACAGTGAATGGCTGAGATTTTGAGAGGCTCTTGATCACCCTCTTCTGATGGATTTAATTTGTCCTCCCAGCAAACATCATAATCCCCTATTGCCTCTTGTATCTCCCTTGTCACCTAAACATGTCACCACTCCCGGGGCTGGAATGCCTGGTGCTTACAACGTTCACCAAGCAGGATTACCTGACACCAGCCTGCAGCAGCTTTCACTAAGCTCTATTTATGTTGCACTTACATTTATTCTTTGCTACTCCCAACTTCTTCCCCTCCCCACCAGGCAATGGTGACAAGCATCCACACTGAAACATGAACATGGTCCAAACTCTCAGGTCCAAAGCCATCAAGAATCTTATTATTATCTTAAATTACCCAATGTTTCGAGCCAGGCTGTTGTTCTCAGTCCTGTGGGACCGTGGATATGTGTTAACATAGTTCAAACCAATTGAGAAATGGCCACATTCAAATCTAGTTTTGTAAAAAGCCCAAATATTGACAATATTTGTACACAGGCACCGTGTCTGCATCTCCCAGTGCACAACATGCACTATGTGCACTATGGATAAACTGCTGAGTTTACAGGGTCTTAAATATTTCAGAAATTCACTTGGATTAAAGATAAGCTGCTGTGAGTCCTTAAACTGCTGTGAATTCCTGACTTCTGGAGAATGAGAACGAAGCATGTTGATTGCACAGTTAAAATAACAGTGCCAGGGCATGCAGGGGAACATTCCTGCAGCGTAATTAATCCAACCACATCACATTTTCTGGTGTCTTGTGTGTGAAATAAGGACCAGAAAATAACACACTGGTTGGCACTGACTCATCAAACCCTGCCCTTCTCACTTTTAAAATTTCTACTCCCCTGTTACATGAATGCCCACGACTGTGCTTTGACTTCAGTTCAATCCAGAAAAAGAAATCACAGGATTTTTAGAATGAGACAGCAAAAATGGTCATAGTGTAATCGTGTCTTCACTCAGAGGTGCCTGAAACTTTGGTGTCCACATCAGGATGATTTGATCAATGGAGGCAAGGAAATGCTTCCAAGAAGGAACCCCCCTCCCCAGGGGAGTGCTGTGGACCAGCACCCCCAGCACAACAGGGAGACACTGGAAGGAGCTCAACACCCTCACTCCTCTGGAAAACACCTCAGTGTTGTGCATTAGCCACATTCAGGTATCCAAGCCTTGGCCATTCCCCATCCCGGAGGAATTCCGTGCAGCTGCACAGACACCCCCTCTGGAGATGCAGCAAGGCCAGAGCGAGCCCTTGGCTACCGACAGCATCTAAGGTACCAAAATAACCCAGCTTGCCCAGTGGGCTGGGAGGGCTGGGAGGGCTGGGAGGGCTGCCCCTCATCCTGTCTGTCCGTCAGTCTGTCTGGATGAGCCAGAGCAGGAGCCCTGTCCCTGGGAGCCTGACTGGACACCGGTGCTGGGGCCATAAATCAGCCGAGTGGAGAAGCAGAACATTTGGGAGTCACAGGATTTGTAGGTGCTGCTGGTGTCACAAGGAGTTATTTACGGGGTTCAGACGGTGGAATACACAGACAGTGTGACATAATTGCTGGCAGGGGCTGGTGAGCAAAATTAGCCAAACCTGTAGGGAAGTGCTGGGCAAGGAGAGGTTCACAGGGAGGTGGTGGGTCCAGGATGTGCCACAGGCCCCGCACAAGCACAGCACGTGGGGGGGACAAAGCCATGAACACAGGCTTAAATCAGCATTATTAATAAAGGAATCAGCAGCAGATGCAGCATTCTATTGCATAGGAGCACAGAATCATAAAATCAGAGAATCTCCTGAGCTGGAAGAGACCCTAAGGATCATCCAGTCCAACCCCTGGCCCTGCACAGGACATCCCAACAATCCCACCCTGTTCAAACCCTCCTGGAGCTCTGGCAGCCCTGGGGCTGTGCCCACTGCCCTGGGGAGCCTGTTCAGAGCCCGACCACCCTCTGGGAGGAGAACCTTTTCCTGAGATCCAGCCCAAACCTCCTCTGACCTCCTTTTCTCTTTGCATCTCTCTTTGAATTTCTCTTTGAAATTCATAAAAATCAAGGCAGTCCTAACACAGCAAACCTTCTAACCAAAATACCAAACTGTTGTGTGCTTAGTCCCAAATCCCAGCTGTGCTTTACCCCAGAGACCCAGGTACTCACTGAGAAGCAGGATCTCTCACCTATAATTTCTCTTTTAGCTTTGAGTGGGCTTTCTGTGTTTATTTGTTAACCTGAAGCAATCTTTTGAGCTTGAGTCTCCCCACTGCACATTTCTAAAGGACAGTCTCCAAGCCCTTGGTCAGAACCACAGGACTGAAGACCAGCAACTGCAGAAGTGCAGCTTCATGCAGAGTTCTGAGCAGGTCACGGAGGGGGAACGTCACGAGCTCCCCAGTGATGAATGGGGGTGTTGTGCAGAGTGAGGAGGAATGCCCAAGGATCAGATTTTGTGTGACTTATCCCCTCAGTAAATCTATACTGCCCCTGATCTTCTCCTCTGCCTCGGGGATTACAAATACAGCGTAAGTGGTTGCTCCTTCTGCCCCTGATCCCTGTACACAAACACCAGACACTCTGCCCCCGTTTATTTAGCACAGTGGCACTGAGGCCAAAGGCCAAAAGGCAACACACACCAGCTGTAATTTCCAAGGGTGAGCAGGACGATGAATTCACGTCCCTTTGGTGAAGCAGCTCAGGCTGCTCCTTCCCACATCCACAACACCCCCAGGAATTCTTTTGTAACACGGACAGGCACTTTCACACAGTCCATAGATTAAAAGCATCACAGAGCATCTACAGCAAAGTCCTACTGCCAGGAAGGAAAAATAACATATCCCTACTTACTGTCCAAAGAAATGATGAGAAATGATAAAAACCTTTAGGAATCTCAGTGTACCTGTGCCACGAGTGCAGTGTCACCTCCATGGGACAGGTACAGGAGACCTTCAACAGCCTGTCATCCTCCTTGGGAAATATGTGGGTGCTACAGGAGCCCAGGGATACAGGAGCCCAACCCTACAGGACCCAATTCTACAGGAGAATGACCCTACAGGACCCCAACCCTACAGGACCCAATTTACAGGATCCCAACCCTACAGGACC